CACAACTTCTCTTTCTTTTTTGCGTTATTTTTTTTACTAATTTTTTATTTTATATAAAAAATATTTCATAATTAAAGCATTTAATTATTTTATGAATAATAATAATAATGAAACAGAATTTAAAGTATATCGTATAAAATGAATTTTTATACGATATACCTTCAATTCTCTTTCTCATGCTTATTTTTTTTTTCCAAATTGTAAATATTAATTTATTCAAAATTTATAGCTGATATTTTTCTGTTTCTTATTAATTACTTATACATTTTGTTTTTATTATACGTATTATTCATATTAATTTTGGATATTTAATATTAATTTAAAAACAAAAGGTATATAAGGTAAAAGCAATTTTAAATTAAAAAATGCATCTCGTTTTAAGTTTTAAATTGCAGTATTGCTATATATCGGACACAACTACATATATTATGTATATATATACAAACACATGTTGTACTTTTTTATGTATATTATAGGGTTATAACATTATAGTTTTAAATAATAAATTTTTTTATTCACAAATAGTAATTAAGGTTCATTATCACTTTTTCTTTTTAATTCCGAATGCCGTAAACAATGGCCCATATGTGGCCGATTAAAATGCGGCGACCCAATTTTTGTAATGTTTAACATTTCTGTTTATAAATTATTAATATTCATCATTTAAAAATAGCTTTAATGTCAAAATTTTAAATGTCAAACAATTTGGGGTTCTCTCGAATAGAATTCTAACAATTTTCATTCGGAAAAGTTACTCAGCCATTCAAAAATTTAAATAAAGAAAATTTTGCTTTAAATGAGAGAAATATTTTCGAATATTTATAAACACATATATATTGTGCCCTGGTTGTAAAGTGGTTCATAAAATTTTTTTAAACCGTTATATTAAGCGGGACAGAGCGCACACGTTATCATGAAATATTTTGTCTTATAATTATAGTGTCGCATTTATGTACTATATAAAAATTAGGGATGCACGTAATGTAAATTTTTATAAAAAATTTAATCATTTCGAAAATAATTATATAAAATGTTAATTTAAATTCATAATAATTATAATAATAATTCTAATGATCTTGCTATACTATATGTTATTCATGCGATCGATATAAGTTGTCAAAAGCTATAAAATAGCCAATTTCAATACCATAGCGATTTTGATAAATTTGTTAATATTATATTTTTGGACGCAATATTTTTTTTCTTTTTTTCTACTTTTTTTTGTAAAATGATGACATACATACATATACATATGAAATTATATATATATATATATACATGTGCGTATAATCCTGTTTCATAATCAAATTTGAGAATTTTTTTTTGTATTTGAATATTTGAACCAAATTGGCGATAATTTTATGCGAGTTTTTATAATTTTTTCTTATTGCTGTTGTAGTTGGTTTTTATTATTACTATTAAATAGTTTTGATTAAATTTTATGTTGCTTTTATATTTTGTTATTTTTTCTGTTTAATGCCTAAATTGCTTTAAGAAAAACAATTATTTTATTTATAAAAGGTCACTATCAAATAAGGAAATGAATTTTGCTTTTTTTTTTTACGTACACAAAATATTTAACTTTCTAATATTGATTTAAAAAGTAAAATAAAAACATATTTTAAAAATAAAAAATTTTCTTTTATATCAAACCTTAATCAAAATCTAATTAAATTGTAATTTAAAAAAAAAATTTTATTGTAGTTAATGATTGCTGTATTTGCGTCTTCTTTATTCTATTTCCGTTTTGTTATGTGCTTACTTTGCTGTGTATACGGCGATAATTTACAATAAAGCGTTATATTTTATTTCTGTAATTAAAATTGTACAAGGTGTCGAACAAAATTTAAAAATTTTTTTTTCTGTTTTCTTTACTTTAATATTTTGATTTTTGTTAAAATGCTTTTTTGTATTTTGAAAATTTAAATTTTTGTGGTATCATTGTAAGTTTTTGTGGGTGGGCAAATATCAGGCTTATCTTTTTTATGGTATATAAATATTGATTTTAATTATTTTTCACATTAAATTTTTTTGCTTTGAATCTATTTCTGTTTTTATATTAAAAAACATTACCATATTTTAAAGATTGGCATTTTATAATACATATACATAATAATATATGTATTAAATGTTATTTATATATATATATATATATGAATATATAACTTCATAATATAATATATTTCCATTTACGACGACAAAATTTACACTTTTTTTTTTGTAAAAATTAAAAATAATAATTTATTCATATTAAATATTATATTTTTTTTTATATTTTTATATTTAACAGTTAACTTATAATTATAATAAAAATATAAGTATGTTAACAAATTTATGAAAATATATTAAAAAAAGAAATTTTAAACAATTTTAATATTGTATATTAATGAATACTATAGTATATAAAAAAAATTTGCATATATTTTAATTAAAATAATTTTAATTCTTATGAAAATATTAAAATGGAGTACAATCAAAAACATATGCTTCACATTATATAATTACAGTTAATAATAATACTATCGGTGGTCTGAAATGAATTTCATTTCTTTCAATTATTTTACAATCTATATATATACATAAATATATCGGAAATTATAATATATTATATATAGTATTAAAACACAATACGGGTAATTTACGGTATAATGCATATTTATTGTTACTTTAATTATATGTATATTGCCTAAAAATTTTAAGTAATATGTGTACATGGATATATAAATATATATTTTATATATGGGATATATATATATAAATATACATATATACATATCCCATATCCATATATATATATATATATATATATATATATATATATATATATCCATATATATATATATATATATAATATATATATATACATATATCCCATATACATATATATATATGGGATATATGTAGATATGGGATATACATATATATCCCATATCCATATATATATATATATACATATATCCCATATACATATATATATATACATATATATATATATATATATACATATACATATATATATATGGGATATATGTAGATATGGGATATACATATATATCCCATATCCATATATATATATATCCATATATATATATATATATATATGGATATATATATATATGGATATATATATATATATGGATCATATCTACATATATCCCATATATATATATGTATATGGGATATATGTATATATATATATTATATATATATATATGGATATATATATATGGATATGGGATATGTATATATGTATATTTATATATATATATCCCATATATAAAATATATATTTATATATCCATATATACATATTACTTAATATTTTTAGGCAATATATATATAATTAAAGTAATATATATGGGATATATATATATACATATATAAATATATATGCATATATATATATATATATATATATATATATATATATACATATATATATATATATATATATATATATATATATGTATTTGGGCGTTATATGGGATATACATATATATATATCCCATATAACGCCCATATAACATATAATATTTAGCAGGCCATTTAGAACGGGAACATTTTGTATATATGTTAAATAAATGAATTATATAATTGTAATACATTATATATTTTGTAAATTAATACATGAAAAACTTTTTTAATATTTAACAAATTCAGAATTTAAAAAATAATATAACGTGTAATAATAGAATTCATATTATGAATATAAATAGAGTTCTTGTTCCAATAGTTAATTTCGTCATGACTTCTTACATTTACATAGTTTTCATTTTAAATAATTTAATTAATGAATTTTTTAATATTAAATTTAATAAACAATAAGAATGGCCGTTCACATATACAGTTATATAAATAGAAATAATATTCAATAAATTAAGATCAGAAATTTTTTAAATTTTACAGGCAAATTAATATTTTATAGTGTTATACATATTTTTACGATATATACACTTTATGTCAATATATTGCTTACAAATTGATGATATTCAAAACTTAAGATTTGACAAGAGAATGATATACGAGTATGTACTCAATTATTTTAAAATAAAAAATATACTTTATTCAAAACTTAAGAATATTACCCTAATTCCTTAATTATTATTTTATTATCGTAGTTAAATTAAAAATAATTAAACTACGATAATGAAATTTTAAATAATAACCAGATAAAGAGTAAAAATAACAGCAAAAATTTATTAAATATTTTCAAAATCACACATACACAATAATCATGTTTTTGAATGTACTCAAAATAAAAATCAAAAAAATAAAAATAAATTTTATTTCATAAAAATTTTAATAATTTATATTTACAAATAAATAAATAAACTTATTATGTAATATTACAAATGAATAAAAATATTTTTTCTAATTATTTTTTTCTAATTTTCTAGCTAATTTTTGTTTTTTTTTTTGTTTTTAACATAAATTAAATTTATTTATTTTATTTTAGGTTCAACATAATTTCATTAATAGTTAGTTTACCTTTGATTCATTAAATTATCTAGATATTTATAGTTATACATTATTAGAGATTAGAAGGAGATTTATATATTTTTTATCTAAAATGGTTGTTTTTTTATTTAATTAATTTTTTTTGTAATTTTTTATTTTTTTTTTAATTTTTATTTGATTTTTAAATAGCCTAATTAAAGTAATTTTTTTTTGTATATAATCAACTATACGAGTACATAGTTAAGAACGAATATAGTGTTATACAGTATAAGTTTTTTTTGTTAATATTATTACAGTTTAATAGTGAAATGTTTTGTTTCTTCATCTTAAATTTGTTATACACGTTAGTGGCATTCTTTTAAAATGTTTTCTTTCCTTTTTTTTTTGTTTAAATTTTATTTTAATGAAGAAATTCGAAATTTTTTTTTTATTTTAAATATCATATAATAAATAGTTAGATATATTTTTTATGTTTCCATTGTTTTTTTCTATTTATTTTCAAATTACTATATATGTAAATATATTTTTTCTATTTAATGTTATTTATTTCGAATTTTTACAATGATTTTTTTGTGATTTTCTATATTTGTCGTCGTGATGATTTTTTTTATGTTATTTTGAATGTGATATAACTGAATGTGAAAGCATTGAATGTGATATACCAGAAATTTCAGCATATGTATCTGTTGGACCTTCAGCACTACAAACTGAATCTAAAAATATAAAAAAAAAAACAGAATAAAAATAAATTAGAAATTAGAAAAAAATTATTACATTTTTATTTTGTGTATTTTTAATTTAATAATATGGAAAGTGAAGCCTATTTAAATAGTATAACAAATATTGATATTGTTATATGAAAATTGAAAATATTGAAACTATCAAATTTTGAAATACATATTATTGCCTTCTGATTATCTTTGTAACTTTAAATACAAAAATAATTGGACAACATTTAAATACAAAAAAATATAGAACAACATTGAAATTGAAGGGAGCATTCTTAATACTTGATATACTTGTTTTGGATATTGTAAATTTCTTCAAAATTATTCATGAGACGTTGTACAATTAATTATAATGTGTAATAATTTTCTATATTTTAGTTTGTGTTCATCTTAAAATTGATAATTTACAATTTGATTACACTCTTTGTAATATTTAATTATATACTTAATTATTTTATATATTTCATATTTATTAATATTATTACTATATATTAGACATAGAACACGTTATAAATAAAAATTATATAATTACTATGTATAAAATTTAATTTAATTAAATTGTACATATAAAATTTACAAGCTTTTTATTGAAAATTTTTTTTAAAAAAAAAAGAAATTATTTTTATTGCATGTTTTAAATAGTATATATATAATTATGTATGTCGAATATTCTTATTATAATTATTATAGAGATTAAAGTGTGAATCTTATTTTATTTTAGCAAATTTTAAATTCAATTTTATATAACCACACTTAATATTATGCAATAATAATATTATTAATTTGATTTTTTTAATATTTTCTTTAAAAGCCTTTCGAAATTTTCCAATTTCAAGATTTCAATTGATCTTGAATTTATTATGCTAACAATTACTAACGAAATGTAATATATGAGTGTTGTAATGTATGAGTATTGAATTGATTTTTAGTATAATAGCCAATAATTTTACCTTCTGGTGTACGAGACGGCTCTGCTTCTGTAATTTCAATATCATGATGTTTATTACGGTGTTTCGAACTCAGCGCCTAAAATATAATATTCATGAAATATATTTTATTTAAAATTTTAAATAATTATTCTTCTTAATTTTTTTTTCTTTAATTTTTGTTACTAATATCGATCTTATGTACATCTATGTGTATATAATATTTGAAATGATGTAAGCAAACAAAAAAAAAAATTAAAAAAATATTAAATATATAAAAAATTTATAAAATCATGCAGTTAAATATGATAGATTCGAACAGGAAGTTTTTAAGATTTTGTAAAATTCGTCCAAATTAAAAAAAATACCAGTTTTAGAATATAGTGTTAGATATAGTAATTGAATATACTAATACGCAAGTGTTGGTGTTAGTAATTGTGGAAATAAATGTTATAATGTAAACTTCAATAATATATAAAGGATTTAATTTCATACAAACCCTTCATAATTGATATAAACTTATTTTTTCTCCCATTATTTGAACGGAAGCATAATTGCCTCTCAAAAATATGACACTACATTTTAATAAATCGTACTGACGATCTGATACACATTTACGTCATATTATTGCGTTCTAGTATTTAGTAGACCATTATACACGTGATAATATTATTAATAATAATAATAATCATAATATTTTTAAAATGAAATAAATTCTAAAATAACTTTTTAATGATTTTATACTATTGCGATGCAAAGTCTTGCTCATTAGCATTCAAACTTTTATAATTTTTTTTTATAGTAGTGTATATTAAATTATTTTTAAATTTAAATTCCTATTAGTTCTCTTAATATTTTTGATCTCACTTTATTAAATTACAATTCTGCTTAAGCTTTTTTTATATTCTCAGTTTGATTTTAATTTTAAAATAATTTTAAAATAATATAGCAAAAATTTTATTACGTAGGTTAACCGAAATACTGGCGTACGGCAAACCGAAAATAAAAAGTTTTCTGTGTTTTTTTTTTTTTGTTTTTTATCAAAACTCAAAATTTTATTTCAAGGTTGCCTACTAAAATGCTATTATTTTTCGGATCTTGTTAAAATTGTTAGCCAATATTTTGTATTATTTGAATTCCACACTTTACAAACAAATATGTAGCTATATTACTTAAAAATAATTAAATAATTAAAAATGAATAATGGCGTTGCAAAAAAAAAATAAAAATATTGCCGCCAAAAAAAAGTAATGTTACAATACAAATATTGAACATGTCAAAAATGTCAAAAACACAATATTTTTATGTTTTAATAATTGAAATTTTTACAATAAATAAAAAAAAAAAAACAACATTTATTTACAACAGTTCTAAATAAAAAAGAAAATTCATTCAAATTTAATAAGGAAACATGGGGGTAACGTACACACATCCATACAAAATTTTCAATATATGAATACGAAATTAGTGTATGTGGGAGTGTTAACGAGTATGTATTTGTATATGTATATTTGTGCAACTTATATCTAATTTAATTAAATTTTTTTTTTATTACAAAATTCCCAATTAATTTTTAGATATAAAAAATTGAGATTATTAAAGAACGCATAATGTAGACTGTTTCCCAGTATATCAAGTGCTTGCGACTGACGTTAAAAATGAATATCAATGTGACGTAACCTACGCGTCAGAAATTCCAAATACGTCTCCAACGCAACTAATTATTATTTTATTTTTTTATTTTACATATTTTCATTAAAGGCTAATTATCAAGTTATAATAATTACATGTGGTAAAATAAATGACGAAGAAAATATTTTAATTTTTAATTCTTAAATTTTCCGCTTTACTGAAATTTTTCAAATTTCAAATGCGCAAATTTCTTAATCGCAGATGCTTGTCATTTGCAAAATCGAGCGAATCACGTCATTAATACAATCGTCGAAGTTTTCAATTACTGGGAAACAACCATAAAATTGTGCTCCTATTAAAAATAATTTTTTTTTATTTTGAAAGAATGAAGACAGATGGTGTTGCATAATGAAATTTGACAGTTTGAAATATCTAAAATAAAAACAAAAACATTATCACATTAAAACATAAAAATTATAAAACAAAGTTGATTGCCATAAATTATAAGAAAATAAAATTGCAGAAGAAGAAAAAAAAAATGGAAAATTAAATTTTATATTTTAAAACTAATACATTCAATCGATATAATAATTATTATTATAAGAATTTAAAAAAATATAATAACAAAAAATCAATTTAAAATTAAAATATAAAAATAAAAAAAAAAATAAACATAATTAAATTAAATCTTACCTTATCTTTACTGCCTTTTTTCTATAAATATTTCGATGAAATATTTTCAATTAAATTATAATTTATTATTTAATGGTATATTTAAATATTTTAAAATAAGAAAAAGAAAAAAAAATAATTAAATTAAATAAATGAATATCTCTTTTATGTTATATAATAAAAAATTAAAATACAATATTTTTCTAAGAATATATATTTATTTATATCTCGTAATGTTCATTTATTTACTAAATGTATTAAAATAAAATAATTGAATTAATATGTATTAAAAATAATAATAACTATATGATGGGTTTTGAAATGATTTGGTGAATTCTAATTTTAACCCATTAGAGAACAATGATCGCAAAAATAGAGATTAACGGGAAAAATTGGAAACAAAAAAGAAAATAATTAAAAAAATAATTTTTTGGCAAAATTTTTTATTTACAATTCTATTTAAAAAACAAAACGAAAATCTAAAAAAAAAAAAAAAAAAAAACAAATCTGATTCCCTAATGGGTTAATTTAAAAATTTAGTAATGCATATATGTATGAATATTTGAATATTGTATATAATATAATTATATAATTAATAATTAATTTCAGTAAAAAAACCCCCAAAAAACAGAAATAATAATTATGTAATTGTATAAAAAAATTTCATTTCAAAACTCTTAACACTTATAACAAGGAAAAACAAAAAACGCATTTCCTGTTTTTTGTCTTTCATTTTTTTAAAATTATTATTAGCAAATTATTGTTTCAATAAAATTTTAAAATTTAATAAAAAATAATAAAATAATTACAAAAAATTTTAACAAAAAAATGCATACAGAAAGTGTTATACGTTTATGGAAACTATTTTTTCTTTTATCTTTGTTTTTTACAAATTTTCTTAAACGTATTTTTCGTTTGCATTTTCTTTTTTTAACCAAAAATTACAAATCTCGCAATCTTAAAACTTTAAAATTGCATTTATGAATGAAAATTATAGTGTTAATGTTTTTAAATAATCTTTTAAATAATAATTTCATATTGTATTTTTAAATATTGAATTTAGCATTAAAATGTTAAAAGCAAATTTAAAAATTATTTTAAAATTGTTTGTATTTTTTTTTTATTTTTCTATTTATTAAAAAAATGGTATAAAAGCATTGAAAACAGTTTGAACTTGCAATTGAAAATATTAGCGATTAATTGTGTAAGAATTATTTTTTTTACTATATATACGAGTTTTAAATTACAATTATCATACACCATCTTTAACAATCAATTGCAAATTTAAACGCTATTCAATTTTATTTTTTTTTTTTTGAAAGAGTTGCTATTCCGCTATTCGCATTTATTTACCTGTAAGGAAAACCTTCGATGTCCCGCTTTTCTTCCACCACGTCTTTTACTTATATGTGGATTATCTTGTCGAAGAGTTTTATTCTTTAAAATCTCAAGTTGTGTATACAGTCTAAAAATAAAATAATAATTTAATATTATAATTAAAATATATAAAATATTAAATTTAAAAAAAAAATTAATACATACCTTTTAAGTTCAGCCCTGATATCTTCTGGACTCATTTCAGATATTGTTAATTCACCAATATCAGGATCACCTAAACAAAGACCAGCATAACCGCCACCCAAATGATGTCCAGTATCATGAGAGCCCTTGAATGCATCCACAGGTAAGCGAAATGATAAATCATGGGCAAGTGAACAGACCTGCAAAGCTATGAAGATGGCCAAACACCACACACAGAAAGAGCAAAAACAACAAAAAAAAAAAACAGAGAGAGAAAAAAAAACAAAACAAAAACCAAAACAAAAAGCTAACATATTTAATCAAAAAGCAAGGTAGAGCGAGCGAGCGGTTTGAGAGCGTTTAAATTAAAAAAGAATTGTGAATAAGCTGAAGATCATTTCGGATACATGCTTTATAAAATAGGAATGTGTTGAAAACTTTTAAACATTGCATATTTTTAGTTATTTTTTATTTTACAATTATTACAGAATTGGGTAATTAGCTTATTGTAGTTGTTCATATAATTTTTTATAGAGATACAAAATTATATGAACCCTGAGTCAATTTGACAATAAGTTGATTGTGGTATGTTTTTATAAATCCATAATTTAAAGTAATGATAATATAAGTATTATCATTAGCTATATTATATTGCATAACATTATTTTAAAATCAATTTCATAATTTATTTTCATAATAAAAATATTTTTTAGTGATCAATCTGGATACTATAAGGTCTAATAATAGATTTGGATGTCATAAGTATTTGATATATTTTACAATGATCCGACATGGACCGAGGGCCCAGTATTAACAAATTTTTGCAAATTGTAGAAAAGTATGACACCAACGTGGAAATGTTTATTATTTGGATATAGCCAAAATATTTTTTTGAAATAATTAATTACTATGTAATAGTTATTGCAACAGTAATGGCCCTTACCTTACATCGTACATATATGAGAGGTGATTTGTTGAAGATTTTACAAAAGATTATTCATTATTTTACGTATGTATTCTATCTTTATTTATATATATATATATATATATATATATATATATGTTTATACATATCAATATTTACATTAAATTCGTTTTTAGTTCATGTGACCAAGTTTTGAGTATGAGGACAACACTAGGCTTTCGATTCATATACATACGCAAGATGTAACACAAAAAATAGGCACTTCACAGAGGAAAACGATTTGATTTTTTTCAATTTGCAAATTAATAATTTTTAATTTCCTTCCTAAAACGAGATGTAGTGTTAGCAATAGCATTAAGTTTACTTTTTAACATGCATGCATATAAATATAGAAAAACGGTTTTCAAACAAAAAAGTAAAAACTAAAAATTAAAATAAAAAAAAAAACGAGAATTCTCAATTAAGAAATATGAAGGATTCCGATTGGATTTTAATAAAAAACTAAGTTTTTCTAATAAAGTCGACAAACGCATTTTATTTTAAACAAAAATACTGAAAATGAGAAAATTTTGTAGAAAATGGAACAGAAAATAAAAGTAAAACAGGAACTTCATAGCTTTGCAATAATCCAATCAAAAATTTTTTATTTTTTTTTTTTATTATTTTCATTGAAATAATAATAATTATTTATTTTTTTTTTTTAATAAATAAAGCAACTAGGTATTTGTTTTCTCTTATATAAATATAAATTTTTACAAATCTCAAATCAAAAAAATTTATGACCTTAATACTTTACAATTTAACGAAAATAATTGAACCAACGTTTACAAAAATTTGAAATACACATATTTTTAAAAATTAAATTGAACAATATAAGCCTTCGAACCCCCAATACCACTTTAAACATTCTTGTAATTCAAATCAAATTTATTAGAAGCTTATTTTTCAAGGATCGCAATTTTATTTTAAGATTACATTATTAGTTTAATTGTTACGTTAATGTAAATTGTGATTTTTATACTTAATTATTACCTTTTTAAAATATTTAATGAAAATTGATAGGAAATTCTAAATTCTACTTTACTATTTTGTTTCAAATTTATTCAATTATTTTCATTTTCTTCAATTTAATTATCTTAAAACACAAAAAGAAAATACTGTGTTAGAAATAAAAACGTTATAACTTCATTTTAACAAAAATTGAACTCTTTTTTTTCAATAACTATAGCTTAGCAATTAAAATGAACTTTAAAATTAATATAGATTATTAAAAGGGATAAGAAAAAACTAAAAAAAAATATTATAATAAAAAAAAACAAAAGCTTACCTGCTTATGTTGATACCATAGTTTTGGTAAAAACACCAAACCTAATGTTACCGTATTCGTTAATTGTGATCGTATAAATAGTGCCAAAAATATTGCACCAGGACTTAATTCAGGTAGATAAATTACCCTTAATATATAAAAACTAGATGAAACTATGAATTCTATTATTAAAGCTGCTACAAGGAATTGTCTTTCCTAAAAAAAAAAAATAATAAAAAATCAATTGAAAAAAAATTAAATAAAAATATTTATTACCCTAAATTGTGTATTAGCATTACGACTGGCAAATGCTAAATGTAAACCAAAACATATTATTAATATTTCACTAATCTGCGTTACATATTCCCATTTTAATGATACACATGTATTTGTTTGAACTTCTTGTAAACCAAATAAATCAGCATTCTCAATTAAATCAATTGATGATGCTGTAAATGCTGACATATAACAGACAACAGCAAATACCATAGTACCCAAATATTTTAATAGATCAACATCACGTAATACCCAGCGATGTGCTTTACGTGTACGAAATTCAACCAAATGACGATATAATTTTAATATAATTGCACCATAACATGTCATAAAACCTAATTCACGACACCACGGTTCTAAAAGACAACGTGTTGTTGATGCTGGTAAAAAATGTAATGCGACCTGTAAAAATTATATATAAATTTTTAAATTAATTTTTGTTTAAAATTAAAATTAACATACCGATGCGTAAAGTAATAATATACCGAGAACAATAGTCTCTAATACAGTCCACATTCCAGTTGCAATTGCCTTTAAAAATTCCAAAAAAAAAAAAAAAGTTGAAAAAATTACTTTAATAAATATTTTAGATTTAATAAAACATTTTAAATTACCTTATTTTTTCTACGTCTAAAAATAATTACTGCTAATACTAAGCAACATAACATACAAGCACCTAATATTGATCCAACAGATGCCTTAAATAACATTTCCATTGATACGGGTTGATCATGTCCACCCATTAAACAAACACCATTTTGATCACATGTAAAACAACCACCGGGACACGGTGTACATGTATAATTATTTTCCATATCACCAGTAATACTTTCAACTAATTCAGAACGAAATCCTTGTGTTGTTGAATTTGGCAAATAGTATGAGTCACGACAAATACATGTATAACCATCACGATTTATAATTGATGGTTTTGGGTCACCAGTCATTAAACAAAATGTTGTATCACGATCACAACTTTCAGTATTTTATATAAGGAAATAAAATTTAAAATATTTTTATAAAAGTGTTTTAAAATTATTATAAATTATTTTAAATTGTACCCATGCTTTCTTCCAAAAATTTCTTCTAAATTATCGTTACATAAATCAACATCAGCTGCAATAAAAGCTGTTGCAACAATTCTAAAATAACAAAAGGAAATAATTGTCATATTAAAATTATTTTCAAATTTGTTTTTCAAAAAAAAAAAACAAAAATATCGCTGTAAGCAAATACGTACTTGTATCCAGAGTCAACAATTGATATTCTATAAGGCCATAACCATCTTCCCGGTAATGCGTTACAATCTCGAAATGGTGTACCCCATTCGTTTGTTCCTTCTGTATTATTCCATGCCAGTCCCAGTTCTCTCCAATAAACACCTAAAAATGCTTTATTATGCATTTCTGGGGAAGGTATCTAAAATAAAAGTATACAACTATTTAATATAATTGAATATAATTTTTGTAATTTAAAAACTTTATATGTAATTCATAAATTTTATATTAATATTTTCTGAACTAATTGTCCTGAACATTATTGATAAATTTTTATTTGATTTCCAGAACTAATTTTATTGGAATATTTATATATATTACAAAAATACCAAAAAATTTTCAGTGTTACCGAGTTATTTCATTAAAGAATATTTACATTCACAGTTTTGACAAGAGGGTATCAAATGGTTATATAATATTCAAATAATGACAGATTCTATTCATAATATTTAAATATGTAATTACTTTCTGGTTGTTTTTTCAAGTATGTAAACGAACAAAACTTGAAAACACTAAAATTGTTCGCCTAAATATATGCAAAATTCATGAAAAATTAATATTTACAATAAATTATTGCTACAAAACTTTCTCCTTCATTTCAACTATAAGAAAGAAATGTACATGATTTGCATTTACATTAACCCTCGCTCTATAAATTTTATATATAAAGCACGAGGAATTTATATGTGAATTAGAAATCATTACAAATTTTATGTATCAAATATTGACTTAAATATTTTTGTAATTATTTTGTTAAATGTAAAGTTTTCATAATTTCTGTGTGGTGTCGTAATTGTCGTATAGAAATAAAAATAATAAAAGACAATTATCATGTTTAAATACAAGTAAATAGACATGATTTTTTTTTATTGATTATGAAGTCCTGCCTGAAATCAAATTGAATACTACCACTCACATTACCACAAACACACGTCATATTTAAATTTTCAATAATAAAAATATTATTTTTTTATTTTTTGAATACTTGTAAAACAATAATTTAAAAATTTCATTGTTTTATGATGACGCTTTCTTTTATTTCTATATTTTGTTATTTTATTTCTTTTTTTATTACATTTTATTAAGTATGTTAAAAAACAAAAAAAAAAAAAACTCATAAAAAATTAAAATTCATAAAAATTTATTATCTCAACAAATGTTCTTAAAAAGCATTCATTCAGAGATTTGAGTGATTTTTTTTCTTTTTTTTTTTTACTTGGATTCTTTTTCAGAGCTAAAAATATTATTGTCATTAATAATATCACGTCTGCTTGTTTTCCACTCTCACTCTGTCTCTCTCTGTTCATGATTGAAAACTTTTATTTTCTTGTCTTCCGTTTTGTTTTTTTTAATCTTGAAGTAAAACCATAAAAATTCGGAATTTTAAAATCAAAAAAAAATTAAATAAATTACTATAAAATAAATGTTATTTTGCATATATTTATGTAAGATGTGATGCAAATCAACATAATATACACGAACTAAGCCAAACTATATGAAATCATGGTTATTGTATGTATATAGAAAGGCAAAAACCATATGACGACATTCGGAAACGCAATAATAATAGTCTATTTAAATAATGCAAAAGAAAAATTAAGCTCAAGAATTCATGACGTAAGTATGTATAATTTAAATATATGTACCTATTTTTGTTTTCTAAATAAATATGTCATATAAAATATATAAAATAATATTATTATATTGAAAAAAAATTTAAATTAACAAACCGTAACATTATCCCGGAATTTAACAACAGCAATATGTAAAATTGGTGATGCAATTGCAAATGCTAAAAGATTTTCATCCATTTGTAATGCTTCATTTGCAATATTATTTGCTTTTTTTCTTATCTCTTCAATTAATCCACTATTAGATTGTGATTGTATATTAATACCACTACCAGATCCACTAAATGATATAGATGATAATGAAGATTGTTGCAGTACTCCTGTATTCTCTAATACTGATGATATTGATGATTTTGTTGATAAAAATTCAGCAAATTCTTTTGCAGCATCAATACAAATATCTTCTACATCAAATGACTATATTATATACACATATAAATAAATATATATATTCGTATATATGTGCATATGTATTATAATTATATAAAAAAATTTTTATTTAAAAGATTTTTATGTTAACATCATGTTAAACGTTGTATACAAATCGTAACATTGATTGAATATTTAATGAAAAAGTAGAAAAAGAAGAAAAAGATAAAAAAAAATTTTACAAATAATAAAATAGATATTTTTTTTTTGCATAAATAATTAAAAATAATTTTTATAATTTTTCATATATATATGTATGTATATTCTACAAGTATATGAATATTATTTTAATAGTTTTTTATTCTTCTTAATTTTAATTTTTTAAAATTGAATTGCTCTTTCAGCATCGCTTTAAAAATTAAAATTGTAAAAACAAACTGTTCAACTACGCTATTTTGGTGTAGTATATACAAAACTCTTACTTGTACATCTTTGAATTCATAGTATTTTGTTACAGAAGACAAATCTTACTATAACTCTTAAGTCAAATATGGCTTACAAGTTACAGGTCCTTTATTAATTTTCCTAATATACGCTTACTGTATTTATTGTATTATGAAAAAGAAAATACTAGATCTTCCTAATCGTATGCAACAAAGGGCATATTATGTTATTCAAATAATGAATCTGAAGAAGGTATTTCCGATGGATTGTCCAAGAGAAATTAATGTTGATAAAACTATTGTAATATGTGTTTTACTTTCGGGGTTATATAATTTTACAATGTATACTTAATAAATTTCAATTGAGCCGTGCACAAGTGCTCTTCATATTTTTACAATATACCCTTCAATATAGAAAAAAATCAAACGCAAATTTCCGGATGCTTAAAGTAGCAAAATTACTACTATATAAATTGCTACTTAAGTGATTTTTTTGGCATATTTCATTCCCTAAATATTTTGTTTGCGAAAGGTGGTATTTTAATAAAATTTCTCGAAAAGTTCAATTTTTTTGAAGTATAAAAGGAAAAATGTAAGTACATATACATACATATCTTTTCTATCATCTTATAAATATTTTATAAATTCATGCATTTTTTTTTCCAAAATTTAGAAGTAGGTCTAAATTTAAATAAACTGTAAAACATTTTGAATTTAAAGTCCTGATAGATTTTGAGAGTGAATATAAGAATTTAGCACCAGTTAATGTACAATCCGTCAACGGTTGTGTTAATGCTAATAAAGTATGGCAAACACTCGCGGATGATCCAAACTGTTATCCTGAATGGACTCTTTAGCGATATCCCTTAAATCTAATTCAATGCACTCAGTTTTATGCTTTTTTTAAATTCTAATTGAATAGAATCTCTCATTTTTATATTTTATTTTTGCAGAATTGTCTAATATCCAAGCAGACGCTGCGTAACAAAACGTACTCGCGGTAGCAACTATATTTTCCCGTACATTTGTAACGTAATATCGTACAGATTTGCGATTCCTAAATAGGCTTAAATTTTTTCTATTTTCCTACAACTAAATTTATCCACAGTTCACTCTATTTATTCGTAATTTAAAAAGTTAAATTTCATATCACTTGTATAACAGATAAAATTTATATATTTCAATAATTATTTATCATTAACGGTTTTTATTAATATGTACATACGTATAAAGAATTTTTTTTTTAAATATTCAATGTAGATAATTTATAATTCGTTAAACATTTTCTGTAAATAAAATTCTTACATGTCTTACTCATAGTGAAATTAAAGAATTTTATTAAGTAATAAATAATTAGGAGTACTTATACACACTTTGAGAAAAAAATAAATGGTACTTAGATATTATATATTCTTAAATATACATATATACATTTGCATAATTCATATGGGATAAGAAATTAATTTAATATCATTAATAATAATAATCATCATCATAATTATTATTGTTATGATAATGACGATAATATTAAGGAAACTGAATAAAGGTAAATAGTCATATAATTTAAGTTTATATATAAAAATGTGGGTAAAATACAATTTCGTGATATGCAAAGGAAACTCCTTAACATACAGATTGATCTACATGTATAGATGTAAGAGGATATAAGAAATTTCTTCAATTATAATGAGAAAAATAAAAACTTAAATTGTATATATGTTGATTGAGATGGATATATATATATATATATAGAAGAATATATATATGTATATATATTAGCCTACTTCTATTCATAGTGAGTTTAGTTATAGTTATGAGAATTTAATGACTTATCATTTTTGTCACGTTCATGCTGAATACAATTAGTATGAGGTAGCTTTTAGATTCCGTTTTCGGAATTAGATTCTTCAGATCATTTCAAAGGTTTTCATTCATTCAAATTGAATTAAAACTAATGAAAAAAAAGAAAAATTTATTCGAAAAAATGTTTCCTGAAAATTTAAAGTTATATTTTTTTTGATAGAATCATAAACCCAGAAAATGGAATCAGGTTTTTGTTTTCTGGAATCATTACAAATTATTAAAATTCGTTAGTTGATCTGTTTCTTGACTATATCTGAGGAGATGGCGAAATTTTGTACGAAAATTTGGTGTTATGACATTAACTTTATTTTTCGTGCAGTTTTTTTATTCTCTCTCTCTCTCTGTGTTTTATTTTGTTTCTCACAGCATGTTTTTGCTCACATGCTATTTTTGGCCAAAAAGTGTTAAATAAAGTTTAATAAAAATATATGCTATACTTAGCTTAGACAAACCAATAAACGACAGAAATAAATTGGGCTTAAGCGATGCTAATAATTTAAATATAATTTTCGAAAACAAAAACTAATGCAAATTGAATTTTTAATACAATTATACAAACAAATAAATATAGAAATAAATTAATAAAATATGAAAAATTTTTTATTTATTATTATTGCTATATATGTGTTACCAGATACTTAGCAAAAAAATTTATTTATTGTTGATGTGTTAATGATGAACATATTAAATTCCCTCTTTGGGAAATAAAAGATTTTCAACAGTCTATAAATATACATTATTCCCCCAAAAATATGCATATACATTTAAGTCCTCATATATATTTAGACATATATATGTATATGAATATACTTTAGTGTACATTTCTACAATACATGTATGTACACATATTTTATATACATACGTATCGAATATTTATTTATGAATATTTACCCTAATAAATATTTCTATTTTCCTAATTAATTAAATGATTGGATTTTGATGTTTTCATAATATATATTTAATATATATATATATATATATATATTTATATATATATATATATATTAATATTATATTAAATATATATTATGACAACAATATATATATATATATATATATATATCTATATATATAAATTATGTATATCTGAATATAACAAATAACTGTTCAATAGTATATATCACTTTCATTCTATTTAATGTTATATAATTAGACTCTAAGGTATGTATATTCCGGAACCTTTTGTATGATTTTAATATATAAGAGAATTAAAATGTCCTGTTACAAACGAATAGGAAAATCATATAATAATCTGTTTATGGGAATAAATATGCATTACTATACTCCTTCAAACTATTCCTTAATTACTATTGTCGTTGAGGATGTTATACAGATCTTTATATATATATACATAAGAGTAAAATAATATTACCTGTAATATATATGATATAAAATTAGTATGTCATATATTTATAAAAAAAGTTTTTCTATATTTTATACATAATTGAAATTTTATGTTCTTCCAAATTTTTTGCCTTCTTTTATACACATATACATTTAAAATTAATTAATAAAATTATTGTCATATTTGATAGTATACCTTAAAAAATATTTATTGTATACCGCCATATTAAATTAAAACACAAAAATTTAAGCATATGTAGGAATGTGCGATGTTAATAAAAATGCAAAAACAAACATTTTGGAACAAATATATTTGAAAACCCTGAATTAAGTGAAATGGTAAAAAATTTCAATTTGACATTCATATCTTTAAGAATATTCTGTTATACATTATATACAAGCTATACCATATCAGTATAAATCAATTAAAACCCAATATGCACACAAACAAATTACCTACATTTATCTATATCACAAGCTAGAAAAACAAGTTTCTAAAGAGAATGCATTGCAGTTAAACACCGCGCATTCGGCACAATACTATCGGTGGTAACAAAGCCAAATTAACTTATTTAGAAATTTTAGTATGATGCAAATCAATCGGAAAGGATTTATGTTATTTTTTAAATAATTGAAGGTAGTAACTATAATACCGAAATTCTAGAATTTTATTTTTGCACTCTTATATTTTTGGCTTTAATGGATTAGTATCAGCCATAACAACTTTTCCCAAAAAAAATTTATAAAAAAGTGGTTTAGTTTATTTTGCTAAAAGAAAATTTTTTTGTACCTCGATCCCTTCCCAAGTTATCGTCTTTCAAAATTTGTAAAATTTGAATTTTCGACACCTTATATTTCTGTAACTACAAACATTTAAAAATTTCTATAAATGCAGAACGATGACGGTAAATGTCATGCCATCAAAAGATTCTTCAAATTTTTTTTCCACTCATCCGAAATGTATGCAATAGTTTTATATATAATTTAATATATCAATAAAATGTAGTAGAATGTTTTTAGAAAATGTTATAGAAAATTATTATTGTGACCCAACTTTTATTATTCATATTTTTACAACTTATTTAGATTTTAGCAATCGAACAAAAATTTTGTATTAATAAATTTTAGATTTGCAATTATAGACAAACTTCTTCGATAGGTGTTCTCTCATTCAACTATGATATGTAAGAATTGTTCAAATATAATGGACTATGGATAATGGAAAAAATTACTAAATTAATGGAGTTTCTCGTCTTTATATACCCTTTCCTTGTAAAATTATAAGCAGTTTTGTTTTGTTGCCACAGAAAATTAGAAACAAAAATGTGAACAAATAAAATATAGGAATAACAAAGAATAATGAAAAAAAAGGCGCAAAGAAATATATCAATTTAATACAAAAATAAATTAATTTAAAAAAAAAGAAAGTATTTTCGATTGAAAGTATAGAGGAAAAAGGACTTCAATACCAAGAAAAATAATAAGAAAATAAAATATTAGCCTTATATTTTTATTTTATTTTATGCTATTACGTTAATATTATTATAGATATTTTATTTCTTTTTTTTTTTTTTTTTTTGATACCCTTTATGATTAAGAAAAGGTCTTCAGGATGCTATTTAATAAACTATAACAAGTTTCTTTAATTCTTTCAGTTTCTTTCAGATTTTTGTTCAAAAATTGTTTTATTTAATTTTTAACAACATGAATTCAGAAAAGAGAATGAAAAATTAACTTTTGTCGATCTAAAAACTATATATTACAAAATTATAAATTTTATTTTCACTCACACTTTGAAATTAATCGAAATTTCATTAAATTCCAGGAAATGAACAGATGTTACAAAATTTTGTTATTATAGTTCCATCACGAATTTATTGCATTTATTTGGTATTAAAACAAGAGGAGGAATATGAAGTATATAATATAAGCACTCATTATATTGTCATTTATCAAAAAATATTTTCATTTGGTATTCAGTTGAAAAATCGTATTTTATTGAAAATTGTTTATTTTCAAAGCAGGATACTGAATATATTTTTATATACTATTATAAAAGCGCCTGTCATAACAAAAAAAAAAGATTCGATTCAATTTGCAAGATTTTTTCATTTAAAATTTAGAAAGCATTAATTTTAATTTTTTGATTTTAAAATGTGATTAATTTTAAAAAATTTTTTAATTTATTCCTAAATTAATATAAAATTTTTATATACACAATTGAATTTTTAACATAATACGTTTATGACATTAATATTATTTATGGCAACATTTAATTCTTGCAATCAAATGTGTCATCGAAAAATATTCATATGCAAAGCAAATTGTTAAATTAATGGCACAAATAATAAAATGGTTTTGAAATTTTCGACTTGAATTAATCAAAATAACAAAAGAAATTGTTCTTTTATTTTTTCGTTTTAATAGACAAGAGAATAAAATTGAAGATTTTGGCCATCTCATCTTATGTAACATTGTTTACTGTCTTATGTAAACCGCGTTTACTTAAAAAATTTCACATTTCCCTTATAAAGCTTGAATGGGAACTGGAATTAAATTTCTAGAATTTAAAACACTTGAAATAGTGATGAATTTTTTCAATAAATTTTTTTAATATTATTATTATACAAAGCTTTTAATATTCAATAAAAATCAAAAAGCAATCAAAAAAATCAATTACAAGAACATTCACACAAACAAAACAGATCCCATTAACAAAATATTCCTAAATAATTAAATATTGTAAATGAAATTTTTAATTTAAGACAATAAAATTGAATTTTTGCATATTTTCATAATTTTACATTAATATTAAATTATTCTACAACTAGTGAGAAATATTCATTTATACATATACATATAACACTTATGATAATATTTGTATTCGTATCAATTAAATCAAATAAATAAAATTAATATTATAAAATTTTTAAATGAAAATTAAAATATTCCAATTTTTATTTTAATCATTTAAATTTACAATATTTCAAATAATGCAGTGCAAGCATGTATGACAATATTTACGGCCTAAGTTGTATTTAAAATTAGTAAATGTTCTACGTAATGGATCACAATGATTTCTTTTTAAAGCAACTTCTCATAAATTTAAAATGTCAACTTGAACTGATCAAAATCTATTGTCAATTTAAAAAAAAATCGAAGGTGAATTGAGTAGAAAAGTCTTGGCTTAATTACTTTATAGAAGATTTTCTCTTATAACATGTCACAAGAATAAAGAGCACATAATATAGAGCGTCTGTGTAAATCTTTTTTTCGTGCTGCATTAAATAATTAAGAATACAGGAAAAACATATTTCATATTAATTTTGTCGTACAAATTTTACCAAAATAAGCAAAAAAAAAAAAAGGATTTTCATAATAAAATAGCAAAATTTATTTAGATCACCTATTATAATATTAATTTTTGCTTTTTTTTCTTACAAAATTCTTTTAAAATCGCAAAGCAACGTGCGCTCTGCGTTGAATGCGAACCTACGCGAATATAATTGTAATGTACTGAATAAAACAGAACGGTACCGTAGAAAAAGAATGAAAACTTTTTAGTAAATATTTTATATAAGTGCCTAAATAAGGTATATATATATATATACATTATATACATAATTCTTATTATGTATATATTTCTACAAACAATATAGTCATACATATATACACATATATATTGACATAAAATATAAAGTGTTGAATGTTTTAAGCACGTTCCTATATAATCACTTCCATATAGATTTTTATAATAATTACATTTACACCTATGTATAAACACAATACACTTATATAATTTTTATAATGTTTAAATATAAAAGTTTAAGATTTCGATACATGTTTATATTAGGGTGGTTCACTATACAATTTATAGAGGAACAATAAAATTAATTTATATTGTATTGTTTTAGCAATGCTTTTATTGTTATGTGAAATAAAATTGTGTTATTAGTTTGCGCATAAGATTTGAAGTTTTTGAAATTTCCAATATAATAATGATTTTGTTAGCTAACCATCTAAAACAAACAAATAATTTATTCAATGTGTCGCCATCAGCCTATAATACAGCGCCTACAGCATAGATGCATTAAAAATATTTTGGCTTTATTGAAATTAATAAAAAAAAATTAATTACGCTACTTAATTGCCCTCTTAAAAGAACTATTTACAGTCTGCACGTCCTTAACAAAGAAAAAATTGACCTTAAAATTTGATTATATTTTCATTATTACAAATATAGATACAACGGAAAATTTTATGTGACCCACCCCAATCTGTGTACATACATGCACAATATAATTTCTTACATAATATTTTATTTTCTCTTAAACGAAAAGATATTTGTTATACAGAATTCGTTTCTATGGGTGTGAGTAATAAAATTTTAAATTTCTAGGCACGTATTTTTTAGCAACAGCAAAATAGAAGATTTCAACTTAAAAAAAATGAAAATATAATATATATATATATACATATATTTTATAAATATATTTATAAAATTAAATGTTTTACCTACAAAAAAGGACTCTTATATGTATACGTATAACTAATGTTTGTATTATATGTTAATGTAAAACTGAAGGATATCCAAAAATGAAAAAAAAAATCTTTTTTGGCACCCACATAACATCCATAGATTCTCGTATAGGTACATTTATATGTATGTATAAAATCATCAGTTGAATACTAAATAGGCTAAAAGAAAAACGAATTCTTTAAGGTTTTTGGGAAAAAAAAAACAAGGGAAAAAGGAACACGCAGAATTAACGTTTTTTTTCTTCTCTTTTCTTTTATTTCTCTCAATATTTTATCCTGTTACTTTTCTTGATGTTTGCATCTTTAAGCACAGCATAAATTTAATTTTTACTGTTTACAATAAGGGAAAAAAACGTCCGAATTTTACATTCAAAATATGCTCGCTCACACAATGAGAACCAATATAACTCCAAAACAATGACCTTTCGAGACTCGCTTTCTATTCTTGTTTTATAAAAATCAAATCTTTCGGATGTGAATGATTTCAATATAAAAGAAATTTAAAATTTATTTAAAACTTGAATGTAAATCTAAAATTTAGTTTAAATTAAATCCATTAAATAAAATAATTAAAGAAAAAAAAAAATAATCAATATTTATTTGTGCACCCACTAAATCGAGTAATTCGATTGACAATTTAATTTTGTCTTCGTTTACATTTGTTTATTGGCTATGGGGGGACGTTTAATTTTATTTATTGGATGTTTTTTTTTTAATGAAACTCTCAATTCTCTTTAATATGCAAACGCTTTTCCAGCGGAAATTTATAGAAAACATGGAATTTTTAACAAGTAAACCTATTTTGTGTTTTTGTCAATCTTCAGTCGGTTTTTTTATTTTCTTGAACTTACATAATTGCTTAGAATTCACATGTGTATACATTACATATTGAATATGTACATGAAAAATTTTATTGTTTTAATACCTTTAGCACAAAGTATTAATCATTTATTAAAAATTGAACATTTTCTTATAGCAAGAGACTAATTTGCTAGAAGATGTGATTTCTCTTAATAATTAGTTGGGACAGATTTAATATTGTATTATTAAATGTCAAATGTGTATTAGTCATCAATTATATTAATATTCAAAAAATCCAAAACTAATCGCAGTTATATAATATTCATATACGTACATTCATTATTACATTATTATAAAAATTTCTAAAGATGTCAAATCATTATGAATACATATGTAAATACTCACCGGATCAGGTGGAATTTTTTCTAAAACTTTTGGCTCACAAGGTGGTGGAGGTGTTATAGTTGTTTTAGAATTTTTATCCTTCCCCGAACTATTACTTAAAATTGAATCACTTGAATTCATTAAATCACTTAAACCAACAATATTTTCTATTGATGAATTCAAATTTATTGCTGCAATTGTTGTTGATATTGTTGATGTTGAAAATTTTCCTGTTATATTGGCACTATTATTAACTTCTCTTCTACGATGATAATGATAACTTTTAATTTCACTTATATCATCATTTTCATTTTTATCATCATTATCACTAGTATTAGCGCTAGTATGACTACCATCACCAGTATCATCATCATCTCCATCATCATCTTCATCATCATTATTAATTACATCACCATCACCGCTATCATTACTATCATTTACAATATCATTTAGATTTTCATTTAATTGTGAATTTTCCCATCTTGTATTTACGTTATTATAAATTTCATTAGTTTTTGTTGCTTGATGATGTTGTTGATTTTGATGATGATGATGATTATTATTATTATTATTGTTATTATGAACATATTGCTGACGTTGTTGCTGCTGTAATTGCTGTTGTGGCTGTTGCAATTGTTGCTGTTGATTTGATTCTGGCACTTCGGCATTTACAATTTTCGGTGGTGGAATTGTTGAACCGGCTACACATGGTGTTGTCGTTGTTGAAATTATTGTTAAGAATATTATTAAGAAAAATAATGAAGAGCTTATTGATGATAATGGATTACTATTACAGTTATTATAATACATTGAAGAAATTGTTTTTGTTACTGTTTTTATTGCTGTTGTTGATATTGTTGTTGTTACTCTTCTTCTTCTTCTTTTTCTTGTTAATGCCGCTGATAATTTATTGTGCCCCTTAATAGATGATTGGATTTCAGATGATAAGATTGTTGAATTCAATGTTATTAATGATTGACTAAATCTTGTCAATTTAAATATAATATTATTTACTGCCATGATAATAACTGCTAAACAGAATAAAATTTTTTTCCAATAATTTTTGAAAATATTCCAATTATTGTTCCAACATTTTAAACAAAATTTCTTATCATAAATTTTATTATAATTATTAATTCTGTAAACAATATAATTATATAATATATTAATGATAAATATAGAATGATAGACAAAAATTTTTAAACTTTTATAGCAATATTAATTCATTTAAATATTATATACTCACCTATTATTTATATTACTAACTTTGATGTATGATTTATTAACATTGGGACTACAACTAATGTTATCAATGTCATTTTTACAATTTAATGTGGCACAAAATTTATTATTATAATAATATTTTTCACCGATAGTCCAATTTTGTAAAATATTTCGATTATTTTTTACATCATTTTTCATATTTTTATCTTGATTATTTTGTAGAACATCTAAAAAATCGCTACAATTACTACAACTACAATTACTATTTTTATGATTTTTTAAAATATTATTGTAGTTATTAAATAACATTTTAATATTTTTACAATTTGGTAAATTATTATTATTATTTTGAATGGAATTTGTGTCGCCTATTGTTATGCAATCGGATTGAATTGAATTTTTTCGTTCTGATGAAAATAAATTTTTATTGGAAGATTGATGATATTGTAATATCCGTTTCTTTTCTATTATTTCTTTTGTATTTGTTGTTTCTTTTGAAAATGTTGAATATTTTGTAGAATTTGAATAAGATGATATTGTAGTGAATAAGTTTTTATTATTAGACTCTAAGTTTTTAGGACAAAAGTTGAAAGAATTATAGAGAAAACGATAGCGATGAAATGAAATTTCTTTATTATTCTTCTCATCCATATTATCTTATGATATTGTCCTTTTGAGTTTCTCAGAAAATAATATAAAATTATGATTTTAATATGATATACATGTTATTATTATTACTATATTGTAGTAATAAAATATTTTATTATTGTTTATATTTCTATTTCTACTACATACAACTATTTTTTTTTACTACAAAATACAGCTACCACAGCAATTCAACTCAAAAACATTGAATTTGATATTGTTGACTTTAGTGTTAACACTTTGTTGTTATTGTTGTTTTTTTTTCTCTCTCTCTCTCTCTCTCTTATTAAAAATGTTTTTGTCCTGTTAATTTTGTTTTACACAAAAAAAAAAAATAGATCACTTTTTAAAGTTACGGCAGACATCTGGAAGAAAAAGAAGAAGAAAATGTTAATTTTATTAAAATTATAAATTTACAAATAGAAAATAGTATTGCAATGAAATATGAAAATAATGATACCGAGAGATTCAAAATTATTTATATATGTATGTATAAATTTTCACAAAATAAACTCAACACACTAATTGTAGGACTAATTCAATTCCAACACGCATCTAAATTTTCAATTTCCGAAATTGAAATGACTATGAAGAAGTAGAAGCCTGTGAGTTATTTTTATCAAACAGATTCTTAATAAACCCACTTGTAACATTAAAATAAATTAAATAACACCGCAAGAAATTTAAAAAATTTAATATTTTCCAGAATACATTCTGGTATTCTCATAATACAATGATAATGCGGCATTATAAAATTTTTAGAAAATCATTTTAAAATAATATTGATTTTATAGAAAAAATATTCTTTTTGAAAATAACAAAGGATGCTTGACAAAAGAATGTAAACCACTAAAATAATTAAAATTTTATAGATTATAAATATATAATACGCATAATGAAAAAAAATTTTATATAAATTCAGAAATTACGAGTATAAATAATAAACAATGACTTAAAAAAAAATTCAATAATTAAATTTAAAAATTTAAAATATTTTTAAAATGATAATAAAAATATGAATAGAAATACGTACAATATGAATTTTTTTTTTTTAATAATAGTTACATACAAGATGAATTTAATATTTATATATACCAATGCAATACATATTTAATAAATATATTTATGTATACACGAAATATGAATATAAAATAAATATTAAAATTAAATAAATTGCTTTCTCATTCTGGCATTATCAAGGAAATATAATATTGATGGCACAATATACAGAAACATTATTAAATCATTATTGATCTTTTATTTATTTTAAATAATAAAAAGCCATTTTGAAACTTAAAGAAAATATCGAGATGTAACACAATCTGCCTGAATGCTTTATTTGAATTAATGTGTTTTTATCATATTCTTTATTAGTATACATTCAATTTTACATACCATACCATAATTATTATTTTTCATTGTATATCTACTATCAAAATATGTAATTTTTTATTGTGTTCTTAAACATAAATAACTTTAAAAATATATTTGATTTACGCGTATACAATATGAATATTAAAATACGATTTTATAAAAATTTTTAATTAATGCATCAGAAGTTTTCAATAAAATTACATCTGCAAAAAATTTACATCTAATTTAAAAAGTTATTATGAAAAAATAAGAGATCAGTAAATTAGTTCTGAAACTTGAAATATAATATCATTGATTCTAGAAGAAAAAAATAAGTATTTCTGAACCACTGGAGAATTTTTATAAATTAAAGTGATTCCAAAATTAAAAATTTAATGTATTTTCTTAAAATAAAATAATTTATTTGTGTAAAAAAAGGCAATTTTTAATATTATTTAAATTGGAAATTTAAGAAATCTCATTTATATTATTTTAAATTAATTTTCATATAAAATTACATATTGGATCCATGGACATATTGATCAACAATATTATTAATTAAATATAGCATATTCCAATTAAAGTCATTTATTTTTGCATTTGCACGAAAATTCTTATGTTTAAATAAATACTTTAATTCATTTCCAGATTTTTTTTCATTATTTTATTAAATGAAATTTTTTATCGTTTAAAATAAAATTCGTGTTTTTTTTTTTTTGTTTCAAAACAAGTCAAAAATTTTATATAAGCATATAAACATTCTATTTAGCTTAATTTAAAAAAAAAAAACAATATTGTTTAGAAAACAAAGAAAAATTATAAAACTCATCATTTATGTATATACATATGTGCGAACATATATAAAATATTATCAAATATTTGAGCAAAAAGTACACACAAAACCTGCAACACACTTTACGAACAAATTAAATAAAAAAAATTATATTAGAAAATTTTTTAATTTTTTCATTCCTTTCTTGTGTTCTGGTTCTATAAATACTTTTAAACTACTCGTACAGGTACAAACACACATAAATATGTGTAATAAGCAACTAGGACCTAATATATTGGCTGAGGCGGTTGTGTAAAAAAAAAAAAATATACATAAAAACAAAAATTATATAAAATGACGTCAAAAAGGTAATAAAAGAAAAATTTGGCTTTGGTTTTTTTTTTGTTATCCTCAACAGCAACGTTCACTTGCAAAACAATTTCAAACAATTTTCAAATGAATAAAAAATATGTACTTTTTAAAGACAATCGTGTATTTATAATTTTATATAAAAATATTAAAAAAGAAAAAAAATTATGAATGAAAAATATAAACAATAACGATATTGACGCGATTCTGAGACTGTGTATAAAACGAGTACCAAACCAATAATATATAAGGTTCTCGTATAATAAAAGAATGCATACTATGCAAAGCATTAAAAAATGGCCCTATTAGTGGGAGTTAAGATTTTGTTTCATTAAAGAAATTTAAGAAGAAATTTCATAATAATAAATTTTTTTATGAATGATTTTGATTTCATTATTAATATAACAGTTTTAATATAACATTGCATTAATAATATTGAACAAACAATATTTGCTTTGAAATTTAATAAGCAATTAATGTAATTTTTTATTAAAATTTACTGAAATTAAATTAATATCATAATTGAATTATTGGATTAAAATTTTTTTTAATTGTTATTAATTTTGTATAGAAGTTTTCCTGAAAATAAGTGTATACATATGTTTATTATTAATTAAAGTATTAAAATAATATTATTAATTATGCTATTTCGAATAGCACTACAAAAATTATTTATGTTAAACTACATATTTAAATTCATTACAGCATATTGTATTACACAGAAACGCTACTTATTACAAACAATGTTATAACATTTCCAGATTTTCACATTAACATTACTTTTAGATACTGATAAATGTAAAATATTAATAAACAATAAGATTGAAATTTGAAATATTTTAAATATTTGCTTTTAGCTACTGTTTAAATAATCAATTATTTTTCACACCTTCTAACTAAAAAGACTTGTTTGTTCTATTTTTCATACGCTTTTTGTAATTAATTCTCATTGTTTTTAGCATCTTCAATTTATGAGTTTCCATATATGTAGTTGGAAGGAATCTTTTAAAAAGAGTTTCAATTAGTGTTTCTCTTATTGTTAGCCTGTGTATAAATACATATTATCAAATGTCTATTACAAATAGTAGAAAATATAGTAGTTAACCATATTTTGAAACGATTCAGACTATAGCAAACTTAGAACACAATTCTTGAAATAGTATACTATTAGAAATAATTAATTAACTAATCAAATCATGGGCAATATAATTATTTATTTATGTAAATAAATTTCTTTTAACTTTAGAGAATTGCTACATTGTCATACTGCCATATTTATAAAACCTTGTAATATACTTTATAATGACAATATTTAATTTTGTTAAAGGTATACATCTAATTTCTTATTTTTTTAACTAAGAAATAAAAGATGTTTTCTAGTATAGTAAAAACCCTGCTCTAAACGAATTATTTCTTATTAACATTATTCTGAAATAAAAAGATTAACAGCTAAAGTTTATGAGTTAACAAAATGAAATAACAGAACTAACCATTGGTTACTTATATTATATATTAAATTTTATTGGAAAAATTCCACATCATTTTCCTTAAACGTTGTAAAAAATGAGTCTTAAAAGTTATAGGAAACGAAATCGACTTTGATATTTTAAATTTTTGTATTTGTAAATAGAACTACTGCCTACATATAAATGAAACTACATATGTACATATTTATACAAAATGAAAAAGTGGCTATTTCTTTTTTAAAAACTAAAGATAAAGAAAACAAAATGAACTTAACATTGGAATTTTTTGACAATATTTATGTTTCGTTATCATCACATAAAAGTAGACAGAAGAATGGAGCTTTTGACCTAAATATTTATATAAATTCATAATATACTCGCATAGTTTAATCAACTTAATTAAAATAAAATTATTAGTGGCTTATTTCTTCTCTCAGCAAGACGTATTTTTATTTTCAAATAATGAGTTTATTATCAGAGAAATCTTTTATTCTAGAAAATTGGAATATTGCACTTCCAGTCACAATAATTTTATTGGTTACAGTATATTTAATATCTAAAAGAAAAAAAACTGATTTAGATGGAGCAGAATATATTGGAGCTGGTAATTTTTTACTAAAAATATTTTTATATCCTTGCTTTTCCTTTTTTAATTTAACAGATAACAGTATTAAAACCGATGAAAATTGTTATGAGGATACTGAATTTACACCATCTCTTGACGACAAAGATCATGTATTATTTCCAGGTGCAAAAGTTGTTTTAGATGGTGGTGCAACCAAATTTTATGAGATTGTAAATGATCGTAGAAGTGTAAGAAAATTTAGTAAAAAACCAGTGCCATTTGAAATTATTAAACAATGTATTCAAGCAGCAGGAACTGCTCCTAGTGGAGCTCATACAGAGCCTTGGACTTTTTGCGTATGTTTTCATACTATAACAATTTCACTTCGGTATATATGTATATATATTTAAATATATAACTTCAAAATTTTTGTTTAGGTTATTGCTGATGAAACAATTAAAAATGAAATAAGAGATATTATCGAAACAGAAGAATATTTGAATTATAGTCAAAGAATGCATCGGCAGTGGACAACAGATCTAAAACCACTGAAAACTAATCATGTTAAAGAATATCTAAGTGATGCCCCATATCTTATTCTTATTTTTAAACAAATATATGGAATAAGAAATGACGGTAAGAAAAAGCAACATTATTACAATGAAATATCCGTGTCCATAGCCACTGGAATACTGCTTTGTGCCTTACAAGCAGCTGGATTAAATTCTTTGGTAACAACTCCATTAAATTGTGGCCCAGCTTTAAGAACTTTATTAAACAGACCAAATAATGAAAAGTTATTAGTTCTCCTTCCGGTTGGATATGCAGCAGAAGACTGTAAGGTACCCGACTTAAGAAGAAAAGATGTTGATGAAATTCTTTTTACATATTAAATGTGAAGCAATACCTATTACAAATTTTTATAGTACATCAATATTTTCTTTATTAATTTTGCAGATATCCAAACTTTCTTTAATAAAATTTTCAAAAGATTTAGAACCACAGACAACAACTTTTACTTTATTAGTGTTGATACTATCTATACATTCAGAAATATCTTCAGTGGTTAACCTACGGTTAAGTATTTTTTCACCATATTTAAGTTTTTGTTTTAAATGAATACAGCATTCCTTTTTATTACAACTCTCATTTTTAATTTCATCTTGCGTCTTGCAATCATATCCACAATTTTCCTTTGCCAAATATGATGTACCAATAAAATTCCAGTATTGTTTGTAATTAAAAAAATTTTCTCTAAAATAGAAGTTCTCCAAATCGGTAAAACACCCAAAAAAAATTATTCTCGTCATATCGTCTTCATTGTTTAAAATTTGTTCTATAATAGGTATAACTGAAGCAACAGCAACTCCGTTGGTGAATAATAGCAAATATTCATATTTATTTATTTCGTGGTGAAATTTGCCAATGGGTCCTTTAAATAAAACTAAATCTCCTAGTCTAAGTTGCTTAATGTATTTTGACATTGCACCGTTTGGTCTTAAATTTATTAAAATTTCAAATTGCAAATTTTTTTCATCCACCCAAAATGGGGTATATGGACGACTATACAAACTAGTTTGCATCATAATGTGATGCCCTGGTGGAATATAAAGCACCAAATCATTGCTTTGATTATCACTGATAACTTGCGTGTTCAGTTTAAATCTCATTTTTAAAATATCAGGTTCCACAACATATTCCACAGATATTAATTCATATAAATTTTTAGTATGTAAACAATTAATATTGTTTTCTAATTTTCTAACTACATCTTTCGATGTTTTGTTTATATCTAAAATACAATTAGCACAACCGTTCCCACAGCAGTCTGATTCCTCCACATTCATTCTATGTATTTTGTTAAATTTGTTGAATATTATATATTCATAAATGTACTTATAATGAATTTAAATTGCATGTATTTATATTAAACTCTTAATATTTTTATTGGTTTTTTTATCCATTAGCATATAGGAATTATAACTCATTTTAAACTATCAGAATGAAATGTTTATTTACAAAACATAACAATTCTTATTCCCCGACACATCTGTTTTCAGTCAACAGTCACATGTCAATTAATTCGTTTTCGAGAATCGTTTGGGCAATTATTTTTAATGTTCTGCTTTCCAAGATGTGAATGCTTTCCACTTGAGTTCTAGTCGAGTGACAACATAATATGTCAATTTTAGTTTAGGTGTGGTTGACGTATATTATTAAGGGCGTTGTTAATTGTTATTTCTTGTTTATTTAATGCTAGAAATATAAAAAAAAATTTAATTTTGAGTGAAAGAAAATTTTTTATATTATTAGAATTCTTGTAATGAATACAAAAAAATTGTGTTAACGCACAAAATAAAAACTCTAAATGTCTACCGTAGCCGAAAGAACAGCTTACTTAAACAATCCGTATTACAACATTAAAGACAAATTATTGGGTGATTATAGCCCATTTTATGCGACAATAGGTGTCTGTACTTTTTTAATTGTATCAATACTACTATTAAATTTCATTATTGGTTGTTGCACCAAATATAAAGGATATTGGCAAGACAGGCATACTGGTAATCGTTGGATTATTAGCATTTACACCTCAACACCACACAAACAACCGCCATTAGATTTAACAGAATTGGATTATCAGGAAAAAAATCCTCCAAGCAATTACTATCAACAAGATATTGAAGCATCCAGAGTACCAACAAGTTACTCTTATTACGAAGCTCAACGTTCGCAGCAATTTCAACAACAGCTTCAGCAGCAACCACAGGAATACGTAGAACTTCAAACTCGTGAGAGCGATATTTAAACTACAAAAAAATATCCTATAAAGCTAAAAATGGCGTGGCTAGTATTATATCCAGCTGTTGCTGCTTTGGCTATGGTAGTTTTAGTTGTAATTATTGTCATTCTTCGGTTTGGTCCCAGACTATGTGGGCTAAGGCATCACGCTCTTCCAGAAAGGACTCACTGGGATGATCACATATAAACTTAACCGATTTACTAATCTCTAATAACAATCGAATGTAAGTTGTAAATATGTCGTTTTTCAAATTTTATAATAGCCTTCACAATTAAAGAAGAAAACGGATTTTTAAATGGTTCATAATTTGAATGAATATCTACAAATTTACGAGAGGTTAATTACATTTTAATGAAGTTTTTGCTTCCCAATCTGGATCTGTCATTTTTTCAAGCGAATTCAGTGTAAAACGACTTTTACAACTTTATATTTAATTTACAAATTTAAAATTGTATTCTATAAGTAAGATATAAAGTAAAATATATTTCCGTCCATTTTATAGAAATATTTTTGATTTTTATCTAGTATATTTTGACAAAGTAATAAGTAAATATATATTACAAAATGAACAATTGTATTTCAAATTTTATATGTATACTTTTTTAAATAAAGTTTTTTTATAGAATTTAAAATTTTCTAAATGTTTGCACTACAAGATCTCAACGCGTAATAATTAAACAAAATGTAGGTATATTTTTATTTAAATCCTTTCAACAGTAATAGCATTTCTATCAGAATGTGTAAACGCATTAATAAATCATTATCTAACCGTATGAGTTTTAAAGTTTTGTTGCTTAAATAGATTCGTAATGATTTGTTGACCAGCGTGAGAATCTTAATAGCGATACTCCAAAAAGAACTGTTGTTTAACAAATTAAAGTTCAATATATATTTTTATTAAAATTCTCTATCAATTTGTCCTTCATGTATTTTAACTCGGACATGAACAAAGAAAATCAAGCAGAACGAATTTATTAGGAATATATAATTACATAGTCCTCTCCTTACTATGCATCACTTTAGCATCACTTCCACTTTGCGAAAATACAAAATGACGAGAAGTTCAGCACTTTTCATAGACCACTACTTAAACAATTCGTCTGCAGCAATTTCATCGTACTCTTTGCAGTCCATACCTTCCATTTTTATTCCTCTTTAACCATAAATTTTCACATTTTGTTGCTTTCTGTAAATGGTTTCACACTGGTTCAATTTCATCAAGTTAACAAAACCTAATAAAAAAAAAACACAAGAAATTTAAACTTTTTCTTTTTTATTTTCATTTCTTCCAAAAAATTTTCTTTTTACCATGATTATTTAAATTGTATTTTTCCTTCTATTTTCTTTTTAGCCTTGATCGTATATGAGAATTATCCTTAATACTGTCAGCAAGAAAATGTTAAAAACAAAAGTTTTTTTTTGCCTTGCTTCGAAAAAATGGATAAAAGAATATTAAAAATTAAGAAAATTATAGTCAAAAAAAAAAGGATTTAAAACAAATAAATGTTAAAATTATTCACACAAACGCCACAATTTTTTTCTTTATCTTTCTCATCAAAGAAATTCTTTTATCTTTTTAAATGCTCCGAATATGGAGAAGTAAGAGGAAAACAGAGTAACATAAAATGGTGTTAAAATATATACATACATATGTACATATGTACATAGGCTATAATTTCTTAGGTTAGGAAATTTATAATTGCTTATTCAACATTTTTTAAATTGTAATTATAATTTAATATTTTCTAATTCATTTGGATTTGAAAATTAAAAATTTTCTAAGTTCCTACTTTGTTGATTTTCCTTTTCTAGAAATAATTGCTATACTTTGCTAATAAGTATACAAAGTTAGTACTTTATCTTTGATATTTAAAAGTAGTTTTTCTCATTAAATTAAGAAATTAAACTGGAATGGCATATATGTACATACCAATAATATGAATACTAATTACTTAATGCCACTCCATTAAATGCATAATAATTATGTATACATACTTGTAAACATTACACCGACTTTGAAATTAAAAAAGAAAATAAATTTCATAACAATGTTAAAATAACTTTATTTTTATTACTTCTTATTCAAACTCAAATAATTGAGCTGGAACACTGATAAATTAACCTTCCTCTTATCTAAAATCTGGAAAATTATGATTATTATTTTTAAAATATGTTATTTTCTATTCATACGTACGTACTGCCCTTCCAATTCTTATTATAATATTATAGAATAATAATCAACTTAGGTATAACAGTTAAGTGTTATCAAATCATAATGCGGTCTAACACATCAGGTAATAGAAAAACTACTAAACAAAAAGGGTTATTTACGCCATCCTGTGAAATTACTAGAGTCGTTCTGTTATGTAAACATTACGCTAAGCCCTAATTATACATAAGCAGAGATAGAACTTATGTATGTATTCTGAAAAAAAGAAGAAAAAAGTAATAAAAAAAAACTTTCTGAAATTCTTTGGCAGTAAAATATAAAAAATTTTCTTTTCATATTAATAACAAAAAAAAACGCAACACCAAAAAAAAAAGATTTTATTTTACCAAGATTTCCTTTTTACACTTTCGTATCTTCTGTATCAAAAAATAAGAAATACACCTGATAATTTTCTATTGTTTTCCTCTCTTTTTTTTACTTAATTTTATCTTGTAGCTAAAAATGGTGTTTTACTCCTATGAGAAATGAAATTATTTCCGTGAGTGTTTTATGTAATCGTCTGCTATTCAAAATGTACATATACATATACAAACATAGGTACAATACAATGGAACAAGTGTGAAAAGATTTTTATTTTTGGTTGATGCATTCTTCTTTCTCTTTCTTTTTAATTTTATATTTTGGTTTTATTATTATTTCCGTACAGGCAGTGAAATCTTTTGGAAATTTTTAGACTGTAATTATGTACATATATATGTATACAAGTTTGATTGGAATAATCAAAAAAATGGCTTTTATGAGGAGACAAAGCTTTTCTTAATCATACGCACATATGTATAATATGTAAAAATATACATAGGTACGTACATACATAAATAATTGTAAAAACACATGTATTTAAACGAATTATGGGAGTTAGAATTTTTAACGTTTACTTTTAACCGCACATGTCATAAATAAAACCAACACATTGTAATACACGAACCTTTACTGTCTATGAATTCAATGTAGAATACAAATTTTATTGTTATAATTATTAATAAACCAAAAAAAAATTTTATATTGTTAAATTTTCTAATGAATAACAATATATATGATATTATGTCGGTTAATATATTATTCATTTCTTATATGTATGTATATCAAGCGAAATCAAATAAGTACAGTGGAATCTCTTTATAAAGAACATTGAAAATTTTATAAGTTTTGTATGTATAATGTTATTTACGATTCTACTGTATAGAAAATTGAAGTTTTATGTATAATTAAATTAGAATGTCAAAATATTTAAGAGTAATTTTCATTTGTTTATAGAATAAAACTGTGAAATAATGACAAGAGGTAAAGGTAATAATTAATTATACAATATTTAATTTACACCAAATATATATAGGTACATATGTACATATCTAATTTTGTTTTACTTAAAACACTTATTTTGCATTGTATGTTATAATATTATAGAAATAATTAGTATTGTTTGTATATATACAAATAATTATTAGGTAATTCAAATTTTAATTCATCAATTCAAAAAAATTCATGTAATTAAATAATAATATGTAGGTGTTAATACTACATACATATAGGCAATATACGAGTACAATTGTATATAATTTTATTATGTATATTATTATTGAAACATTTAAAATGAAATATGTATATATACTTTATTATTATCCATAATTAATATTCTTTTAATTCAATTAAACACTTAATAATTATTGATTTTGCACTTTACATATTTATATGTACATATATATGTGTATTCGAATTTATATACGTAATTTAAAAAGACAACAATTAATTTTTACATATACCTATAATGTATAATTATTAAGGAAATATGTATATATATTCATAGAGATATTTATATATACATGTATGAGTTATATGAATGTATATATGTATAAACAATATTATAAATTATTGATCAACAATAATAAAAAATCAAAATTATAAATATAAACAATAATTGTTGTAAAAGCAATTAAACAATATTTTATGAAGCTGTTCTCTCCTACATATACTTAATATATTCTGTTGAACCATGTATGTATGTATACACTAAATGTTAAATAATTCAATTAAATTTAATTTAATTAATTATAATTTGAAATGGCTTATTTATTATACAAATTTTTATTTTGTATAACAATGTTTACCATATATTAAAATTTATTATTTGAAAATTTAGCACACACACTTAGTATTTTTATACCAAAATCTTCAAGTTTTACGACAATTGTAAGCAAAATTATAATGATTTTACAATAGATATGTAGATGTATAGATATTTAGAATTATTTATTCAAATTAGGAAAATATTCTAAAAATCCCTGTAGCTCGGAAACGATTCCGATTAAACATCATGTTCCGAACAAAAATTTTACTCGTTTTCGGCCCTCTAACGGATGATATACGGCTCCTAACTTGTTGGTTAATCACCCTATATACAATCTAAATTGCTGAATAAATTAATTTTACGTTAGATTTGTATTTTGGTAAACGCCCAAAAGCTGAATTGTGTATAGTAAACATAACAAAATTTCGATTATCATGGTATAATATACATACATATGTATGTATTTTAAAATTTTATATTAAAATTTTTTCTACTTTCAAATTGGATGATATGATATATGAGAAGCTCAGAAGCAGAGTGGCATATGCCATATTAACATTATTTTGCAAAAAATACAATTGAAAAAAAAACGTAATTTTAAAGAGCCAGCAAAATCAGTATTACAGCTATATTGACTTAAAACTATATACATATTGTTATTCTCAGTTTTTTTTTTGTTCTTCATCTTGTTTATTGCTATTTTACTTTAGCTTTAACACCCGGTTTTTTTGTGTTTTACATCACTCTGCTTATGAGCTCCTCATATAATCATAATAGTCATGAATTTGCTGTCATGAATCGAATGTTAAATAAATGTGTGGTGTGGTGCAAGTTAAGGTAATATCGTATGGTGCAAGTTAGTATTACTGCGATTTTATTATTGTATAGGCTCGTTTGACAAGAAATAAATTTTCTTATTCATGTTTTTTTCTTTTACTAATAATTTTACATTCTTTTCAAAATTTACATTGTTACGCAATAATCATACACGTGTAATACATGAATAATTACGTAGATTTTTCCATAAAGTTTTATATTAGTGTTTATTTAATTTCAATTTTATTTAAAACTAAAAACAAAAAAAAAATTTTACACAGTTTGCAAGAATCTAAAAAAAAGTAAAAAAAAAAAATTATAAAAGTAATTTTTATAATTTTTTCTTTAAATAAAGTACTCGCAGCTTTTCACAAGAAAACAATTTATGTAAGTAACTATGTTTGTAAATTTTTTTTTTTTTTACACGTCAATAAAGTAAATATTTTCAAAATGAATTTTTAAATAGAAAAACAAAACAAAAAAAAAATTTATTAAAAAAATATTTTTGT